ATGGGTCATGACCCATAGTTTGAAAAATACATATATATATATATATATATATATACATACACACTTTTCTTACAAATATATACAAGATATAAATATATATATATATATATAAATGAGGATACAGTAAATGCCTGGTATATCAGCACTTTGTCATGTGTAATTCTCCTCTTACTTCCATTATGGTTTCGTGCATTTGTTTTAGCCATACCGTTCCCTCTATTAAAGGTGCACAATTTCTGTGACACAGAATCCAAAATATCCCTTTCTTTAGTTACTATAATCTTTTCTCTACGGCATTAATTTCTCAATGTCTCTGGCTTACTGAATGGTTTTCAGAAGGGCCTGTTTTATTCTGAGGCTCCATTTTTTTCTTAGCATTCACATCTTAAATAAGACTTGATTTTTAAGTGGATATGCAATATATTCATTAAAAATATTTCACTAACCAAAGAGCTGAATCAAGCGAAGGAGTACAGGCCTAAATCAGGGAGCTGTGGCATGAGAAAAGTGCCCCTACTGTTACGGAGGAAGAAACGGAACCTGAAGATATGAACCCCCCACCCTACCCCCTGCACCAGCTGGTTGCAGACGTAGGGCAGACCTCACGGGTGTGGACGTTCAGGCCAGCACCGCTTCTCCCACATCACACTGCCTGCCAGAAACCCCCTGCTGGACCAAAGGACCCCAAAGCCACCTCAGATTGATCCCCTTAGATCAAAATAATCTCATGACACAACAGTTTCATCTAGAAACAATGTGATTATTCAACCCTTAAATCCGTTTTGAACTTGCAAATCCCTATTCTTAACTCCTCTTTCCTGTTACCTATTCCATAGTAATTTTTTGTTGCCGAGGGGTAGAAAACATTCACAAGTCGTTAGTCAATCACAAATGCAGCAAAAGTTTTATTCTAAGAGGGAATTAAAACAAATGCCAAAAATACTTCAGTCATTTCATGTATTATGGTTGAGACTCGACTGTATTCTGATACATATACACATACAAAATCATTAGTTAATCCTTTAACAGCTAAGAAAATATGTATGCAATGTGTCAAAGAGAGAAGATTCTAGACCTAGTCGGGGCCTACCCCACCTATATACAGTTACAGGGTGGGCTTTGGGAAGTTACTTTCCCTCTAAGTCTCACTTTCCTCATCTGCAAAATGTGGGTAATAATGTATTGACCTCAAAGGGTGACTGTAAGGTTAAATGAGAAAATACATTTTGACGTCATTAGCCCAGTGCCTGACACATAGTAAGAATCCAGTATGTGTTGGCCATATATAAAAATTCTTATTTTATGATGATTACATCTTGTAACTGATTTTGTGCCAAGTTTGTGCCACACTTCACTGACATGCAAGTTGCCATGGGGTGCTACAAGTAAATGAAGAATCCCTAGTTACTTCCAATTGTTTTCATGTTAAAGCATTGATTTTGAGCTTGAGGCTCTTGCCCAGAAACAGAAATCGGTAACACAAACTTGTATTCTCTGTATCAAAGTGGAGGCAAATAGCTTATAAACTAACCTTCACCAACCTCCTGCTGCACTTCCTTTCGCCTCCCCTTCTGTAAAGGGGCATAATGCTAAAAGATTATTATTCAGAATTTGTTGTCAAGTTAAACGCATTGTCACCAAGCTAACATTTTATAAAACATCAGCAGTGACAGCAAGCAATTATACTCCAAAGCAAGACTGCCAACCCCCGTAAGCTGGAAAGGTCAGTCAGATCTAAAATGTTATCCTAAATTTAGTTTTAAGAAACATAATACTAATATTTGATTCTTCATAGCAAAAGAGGGCATGACCACTCCTTAGACAATATACTATACTGCCTTTTCACTTTACAAAATAGAATATAGAGTATGATCCTAGCTTTGTAAAAGTTATAAAAACTCCTAGTGTGTTCGATTGCTCATGGGTATTAACAACAACCAAAAAAAAGTCTGTGGACAAATAATTGTCACAAAAGCTGATTAAACAGGTGTTCTTATGGCCCTATTTTTCAGTCTTTTGTAAGCTAATATGCATTATAAAATGCCAGAGGAGGGGTATCCTATGCAGTGTTTCCCAATGTTACTTGCTGATGTTTATACAAGAGCATCTCACTAGCACCAGTGTCTGAGGAATTCACCCAGGAAAGAGAGCTGGACCCTTGGAATAACTCAGCCCTTTGCCATCCAGCCCTAGGCACCATCGCTTTTGGAAACTTTTTCTTACCACTGACCTCTCAATCATCCTGCTCATCTTTGTCATCTTCCATGACACCACTGACCATTCCCTCCACAAAAATGGCTTTGAGAGGCAGGAGGATGACACAGTTGGGACCTGGGAATCCAGCTGGCTGCTCTTGGAGCCCTCAAGCCACCATTTAAGAAATCCAACCAGCCGTTAGAGCGGCCTGGCCAGCCCCCACCCATTCTAGCCACCCCAGCTGAGGTGCCTCCTGTGCCAGCCCCAGACGAGCTCCCAGCTGAACACAGCTGCCTGAGTGACTCCAGCCGATGCCATACACAGCAGAACTTCCCAGGTGAGCCCAGCCATCCCACAGAATCAAATGTGTCTTTAGAAAGATAAAAGGTCTTTCTCTGCACAAACTTATTGAAAGGAAAAATAAAATGTTGAACTCCCTGGGGTGGTGGGGGGACTTCAGTTCTTCAGGAATCAAGCTCTGGGCTCTATTCAAAGAGATGAGGGAAAGCAGATCATATCATAGAGAATGCAGGGATCAAAGGGAACATGTAGACAGAATTCGGTTACCACGAGAAACGATCCACAGCGTCACATGGGCACACGCAACACAGTGCAAAGCATACTAGCGTGAAGTGAACTCTTCCAAAGAAACCAATAATGAAGACACCATCCCCAAAGTCTGCCCACGGAAGAAATACCTAAGCAAAAACTAAGAATTTGGTAATAAATGCCTGAAGTAAAATTGGGATATCTAAGCATGGACTATTCAATACAAAACCATGTCCAACCCACATTAGGAAGTTCCATGCTAGACATGGAGCAGTGCTGGTACTGGCTGAAAGTTCACTATTCTTTAAAGAGAGACAGGACACTAATTATCTAGAACTTACTGTCTATCCTTCATAGTTTGCTTCATCTCATCTTCTTAAAGTCCTGTATTAAAAATTAAAACCTCTAGTTCTTATAATATAAAAACCTTTATTGGTAGATAGATTTTGAGTTAAGATCTTGAGATCCAAAATTACTCAAACAAGTAATTAAGACAATAAGGAATTTTTTTAAGTTCAATCTCAGTAGTATTCAAAGAAAGGCAATTAACAAACATCATTTTTCACCTTTCAAAATGGCAAAGATGTTTTAAAAAGAAAAGGATAAAATCTGGCAAAGTTCAGGGAAATTGCTGATGAGTAAGTGAATGCGTGCAACTGTTCTAGAGAGTTACGTGAAATACATATTCAAAGCCTTCATCATGCGCATACTATTTTGACCCAGATATCACTTCTCTACAATTTTCCTAAGGAGATAATTTAAAGCTTAAATGTTTTAGCTATTTAGGATATTTACTGCAACACTGCTTAAAATAGCAAGAAAAGTTCTAGAAAAAGCTTCAGTGTACAGCAATAAATGGATAAATGTTTGATGTATAATCTATACAACACGATGCAGTAGGTCTCTTAATTGAACTCCACTTAACACATTCAGACAACTCCCCAGGGCCCATCCCTTCCCGTTAACCACCTCAGGGTCCCCACTGGGTTATAGGTAGATACGCAAAACGCTGTCCTGAAGGGCCAGGAGCAGCTGAGGATGAGAGTAAGCACAGCGTGGGGAGACGAAGACTGACGGCAGCAGGCTACTACAGCGCAGCACAGGCCGGATCCCATGAGGCAAACGGCACGCCTCGAGAGTAGCTGTGTTTGTTGCCACGACTATGTACGCCAGAAGTGCTTGTCCATATTAACTGTGATTTCAATAAATATTAACCTAATGTGATTTTTTTTTAAAAAGCACTCCAGCTAATTCTAAGGCAGAGCCAAGTTTGTGACCACTGATCTAGAATCCACACTAAAGACTGCTCCCTTCCTGGGAGCACCGTTTCAGAGATGACTTTTTTCTTCTATGCAGCCTGGTTTTGGTCTCTTCTGAACTTGATCAACTGCCCGTCCCATCAAGGAAGAAACTGTGTCTTGGCTGCAGACTCCTGGGCATACTTCCCTTTGTGTTCCTAGGTGACACTGTGATACTGGGTATGGCCTCCCTTGCTATATTCCCAGAAAGCAGTACCATGTACTAGTCAAGAGTACCGAGGCCCCACACTGCCTGGTTCTGAATCCCAGCACCACCACTTACTAGCTGTGGGACCTTGAGCAAGTTACTTAACTTCTCTGTGCTTCAGTTTCCTGAGTGACCTAACCCTATGAAGGGGTTACGGAACCTACCTCATAATGTTGGTGGAAAAAATAAATGAGCTAATAGATGTCAAGTGCTTAGGATAGTGCCTTCCAAGCACATGGCAAGTGCCCCACAAACATAAGCAGCTGTTACTATTATTGTTCTTGCTTTTTAATCAGATATATCCTGCCCAGCCCCTAGCGGAGTGTGCCTACGAGCTCTCTGGTGAATGAAAGAATGAACACGTGGTCGTGTGTCTCCTCATCTAGATCATCTCCGAACACCTTCTCTTGGTATGGCTTTCAATCTAAAGCTTCCCACAAATCTCTCCAAATACCACATCTTTTGTCGAATCCCTTCACTCCAACTTTTCATCAACCCTCTGCTAACAAAAGCTGGGAAGTAGAGGGAGGCAAAATACAAAGGAATCATGTAGGGTTGATGAGATTTAGATGACACGGGGGAATTGCAGCAAAGGTCAGGCTTAAAGAATGCCTTCCAAATGCCTTGGCAGGAAATCGCATATATTGATCGTTTTCGATATGTGTAAGAAAACAATGTTTCCAACCGTATGAAAAAGCATTCTGCCCTAATTTCTTTAGCAGACAGAAGGCAACATGATAGGTTCACAATTTAAATTATTTTAAAAGTATTTATTGTTTAATAACTTTTTCTCCTTCTGCCCCACCCACCCGGCCACCCTCTCGTTCTGCATTTCTGATCATCCCAAAAGCTGAATACATTCTTCTTCTCTATGGAGGATGAGAATAAACACTAAAACCAAACACTGGATCAGGCCTTCATCAGGCACTACGTCACTGTGGAGTGCTGGTCTTCAACAAGCATGGCTCTCCTAGGGCTCCACAAGGTAGTCCTTTCTCAAATTCACTGGTACACTCATGGAGTTGAAATGTCGCTGCCCATCTAAATACAGCATGGACTCTGAAACACAAGAGAGAGAACCATGCAGAAACTTGCAGCATCTTAGAAATCATGGTACAAACACAAGACCAAGGGGTGTGCCAAGTTCTCAAGGGAGAGGGCCTCGACTCCTGCCCCTTTCCTTTGGCTGGACCAGTCTGTGACCACCAGTGGCTGCGTGCAGCTGGCACCGGCCCTTCAGACAACAGCCAGGTGGCTCAGAACAGCCCTCAGGGCTGCAGAACCTCAAAAGCACAATCTCCTCAAGATATGCTCTCAAACTAAAAGGCATTGGTATACTTCCTACAACAATTTAAAAAGGCAAAAATTTCTTTACAAGGCCTTGCCTTCATTAGGGACAAGCAGACACTGCTGCTTACCTCCATACGTTCTGGGAAAAACCAAGGGCACTTCTTTTTCCGACATGAACGTGAAATGAAAGACATTGGTGGTCGTATGCTCTCTATTCTGAAGAGAGGCCACTTCACTGTGTACTCTGACTTGCATGTAATTGTCCTGAGTAAAGCAAACCTAAGAGGTTATAGACACGATAGTCAGTCAATTGCATTAGGAAGAGGGGGGAAGGCAGTCATAAGAGAAACAGTGGCTTTAGAATATAAAAACTTCTCCTCTAGGCCCAAATGATTAAAAAATTGTATTTCATCTCTCATCACACACCTACCTGCGAAGAAAGAAACAGCAGTGATCCAACCTCAACAGGTTTCTGAAACATGATATCATCCACTGCTATGACAAACGGTCGGGAACCACTGTTGGGGAGAGGCAGAACGTGGGGTCAGCTGCACAACTCAGATGATCTCTACTTTCTCCCTAACCATCAGCGGAAGCAAAATTTAAATGATCAAAGAATAAACCTAGAGAAGGGGGAAACAATCATACCAGTGAGGAATGGTAAGAGATGCCACTGTGAGCAGTGCCAAAATCACTGTATCTTTTCCCTTCTGCATATCATCACCTCCTTTTCTCAGGAGGTCTTGAATGTACTAACTTACCATGTCAGAGCAACAGCCTTCTAAAATGAAGATCAAACCCAGCTGGTATCAGTGTGGTATTTATTTAAAACCACAACATATTCCCCAGCACATCCAGAATGGTCCAAAATGTCTCATTTCGATGGGGTAGTATAAACTGCTTCTCAAAAGTTAAGATGACCTGAAATCCAACTCACCCGAAGTTACAAGCAGTCGCCCATCCAAGTTCATATGCCTTCCTCATAAGGAAACCGCCAAAGATCCGATTAAAAATGTTCCGCTCCTTTGGACATAAAATAGATATTAACAAATACCAACAAAAGAATTAACAATGCCATGGAACAGAGGTCAGCTTAAAAGTGTGTCAAATCTTAGATGAGTATCATGAATGCAAGTTATCCTATTCAGAAGATTTTCACTAAATTATGATACCTGAGGGTGGCAAACTTCCAAGCTCTTCAGTTTTGAGTTCTCCATCCACATTGCCTTAGGGGGCAAAACTCGACTTCGAAAACTTATAGTCCTGTACAAATGGAGATTTAGTAAACCCTGTTAATGCCATGGTTTCGCTGCTGAAAAGTAAAATATTTGCAAATGGCTTCCAATATGTTCAGGCAGGCGTGGCTCTGGAGAAGGCCAAGGTTTAAATGCTTTCCCAACCTGGAATCTCAGCACCCTAACTTACTTTGGATCCAGCGTGTTAAGAAACATCTCATGTATGGTCGTCCTCTCCTCAGCACTGGGAGCCATTTTCAGTAAGGACGTGGAGGTGAAGGCAACCCTTCTCCCCTTGTTCACTGGAACACGGGACAATAAGGAGCTACAATCAGGAGGGTCACGCTACAGCACTGGGGTTCCTGACCTGGGCTGCCCTGGGCCCTACAAAGGCAATATTTCCAGATTTCAAAAGCCCACTGGAAATTGTACATATATCCCAGAGAAGGCTGCCAAGGCCACAAAAAAACGTCTAGAGATTCTTGGCTTTCAGATGGAAATTATATCAGCTCAGTGTGAGACCACTTATAATCATCCCGACCTAGATCCCCGACCAGCAGTTATTTCATTAAGAAACATTGCCCATTTCATTAAAAACGAGAAAACAAATTACTTCACTTAATGAATATTGTCTCATCAATAAAATTGTTCAAAGTATGGACTCTGGAACAAAAAATAAGGTATTTTTAATTTTAATAAATTCTTGGCATGAGTACGACACTTGACCGGTATGAGGAGTCCGTACATACTCTTAAATAATCTCCTCTGCAGTCTAGTTAACGTGCTTTTTAAATTGGATCTTATTATAAACAAATTAATATACATTCTCCTTGTCTAAAGAGCTCTTCTTCCTCTGGGCTTTCAGGGATGAGTGGATTTACAAATGCAGGCCTAAAGAGAAGAAAAGAATACAGTTTATGATGTGCCATTATCCAACAAAAATGGAAGATGAACAATTACCCACTAGTTTTAAAGTCTTTGCTGTTTGTTTTGGGTAACGCTTACTGACTGCTTCACACACGAACTCTGGAACAATTAGGGGAGCCTTCTGATTATAGACTTATCTGTACACTAGAAAGTTCACGTTATAAAAAGGATACTGCTGCTTGCCAAAATGTTTCACCTGATTCTAACAATGAGGACACAGTCAAAAATAGGTTGTAGAACATTCTACAAGACAATTGGCCTAGACTCTTCAAAAATACCATATCTTAAAAGACCAAAAATGGCAGGGGGGCTATTTTAAAGAAACATGATAACCACATGCAATACATGATCCTTAATTGGATCCTGACTCGGGAAAAGGCTATAAAGGATATTTTAGGGACAACTGACAAAGTTTGAATATGGATCATATATTAGAAAATCTAATAGTATCACTGTTAAATTTCTTGGATATAATAAAAGCAGTGAGGTTATGTAGGGGAATTACCTTATTCTTAGGCCATACATGCTGAACTGTTTATGAGTGAAGTCTCAAACTCACTTTCAAAGGCTTCAGAGAAACAAATATGTATACATGTGTATTTATAGAGAGAGGGCGAGAGACTAAGCCTGGTGGTAAAATGTTAATTGGTGAATTCAGGTGAAGAGTATATGGGTGTTCATTGCATTATTCTACTTTTCTGTAGATGTCAAATTTTTCAAAATAAAAAACTGAGATAAAAGGGACAGTACTTCACTGTGATAGAATCCAAAGGTTTGATGAAACAACAACGGAAAGAAAAGAACTGAAATGGCACCTTGGAAAATGGAAATGCATCGGCTGGGAGAGAAACTTCAAGTAATGCCCCCCCAGCGCTGGAAAAGGAGCCCCAGGCCAGCCAGTAGGAGCAGAAGGTCAGCTGGGGCTGGTGGGAGGAGCTAGAGTAGATGAGTGTATTCTTCGCTCAGATCAGAGTCATCAAGGTATTTTCTATCTTAATTCGGTTTTCCAAGTCAGCTTTCCATGCAGTGGAAAAGATTCTCACTGTCGACTCCTAACTCACGTTTCTAATACAAATTAGACCTCCCATAGGCCTCTAGACTCCGTCCTATACAAACAGCAATCCTGTAATATTCCCTTCTACCCCACTCCCACAGTCAGTTTTCTCAGTTGGAATGCCTTGGGTGTAACTGTTGTTAGGAAGCAAGAATTCAATTTAAGAGAAAAAAGATAAAGTATAAAGCCAAATAAGTTCAAGTCTGTGTGGTTAAATCTGACTTCGAAATGACAGTAAAATGTATGAGGTTATTTGCTTGCTTTTTAACATACATCTTAGCTCTGTCCACTGAAAAGACCCCAAATCAATGACAAACTAGTAAAAATGTATAGTTCTGGTGCTCAGATTTGGCTCTCTAAATACCAGTCCCCACTAAAAGGAACCCCAGGACTCCTTAGAGAAATGGCTAACTCCAGGTTTGGGGCAGAAATGTATAAGATGAGCCAAAAAAATTTTTTGCACCAGAGAACAGGAAGGTATCAGAGACTAAAGGGGAAACGTCAGAAGAGCTTATTACAGGAGCCAGCTTAAAGGAGCTCCCACTGACCAAAGACAGTAAACTCTGAGCATCAAGAAGAACAACAGCTGCAATTTATCGAAATATATGTACTATATTAAAATCCATGAATTCACAATGATACTTTTTTAAAAAGCCAAAAAAGTAGAAAAACCATGTCATCACTAGATAGTAAACCAACTTGTTATTCTGAAAATATGTACATAAAGGGCAAGAATGAAACATTAATCCTGACTTTCCTTTACAAACCAAATTCCCTATTGATAAGGGAAAGCTCTCCTTTACAGAACTCCAGCTAATAAATGTAGAAGGAATGACAGTATTTGAGAATCATTTTACACCCCCTAATGATTAGAGCAATGATCAGCAATCGACATTAAAAGCACTGGAGGAAGACTGATGGGGAACTAGCTATTCACAGGATGAAAAGTATACCTTGGATACACCCTGCACTGTACTACACCCTGTAGATTATTGCTGATCATAAGAGGATAAACTGAACTTTACAATGGAAAGATCAGTCTGTCACCACTTGAAGCCACACATCAATCTTAGCATCACTAAGAATGGGACAATCTGTACCTCCTAATAAGATGCAATACGAGATACAACAGCGCCACCTACGAACTGCTCTCACCAATTATGTTGAACCCGAATCTGATCAAGGCTTTAGCTCTAACTTCAGCTTACAGAAAATACTAAGGATAGAGAAACAATTCAAAAAGAAATACCATGAGGATGCGATGAGACAAATCCAGAAAGGTGGACATTGTACAGAAGAACCGATCTGGCCTTTCAAGGAGTTAATGATACGAACAATAAGGGGGCAGTGGAGAAACACATCTATTCTATTCTATTAAAACAGCCTTAAGAGATCACACAACTCGGTGAGTACACTAAAAGCCATTAAATTGCACACTTTCAATGGGTGAATTGTATAGTATGTGAATTATATCTCAATAAAGCTATTAAAAAAATAGGCTTAGGAGACATAAAAATCGAATATAATATGTGGACCTTGTTTGGATCCTGATTTGAACAAATCATTAAAAATATATTTTGGGGAAACTGAATATGAACTGATTATTAGCATATATTAAAAACATACTATTATTTTTGTTAGGCATGCTAATAGTAATGTAGTTATTTAAGAAAATATCCTTATTTTTTTTTTAAGATTTTATTTATTTATTTTTCCCCCCAAAGCCCCAGTAGATAGTTGTATGTCATAGCTGCACATCCTTCTAGTTGCTGTATGTGGGACGCGGCCTCAGCATGGCCGGAGAAGCGGTGCGTCGGTGCGCGCCCGGGATCCGAACCCGGGTCGCCAGCAGTGGAGCGTGCTCACTTAACCGCTAAGCCACGGGGCTGGCCCAGAAAATATCCTTATTTTTAAAGAGATGCTAAAGTATTTAGAGGTAAAATGTCATTATGTCTGGGATTTAGAACATTATAAAGAAAATGATATACTTAAAAAAACGAACCAAATACAGCAAAAATGTTTAATCTCTTAAGTCTAGGGGATGGGTATATGGAAATTGATTATAGTCTTTTCTCCAGTTTTATGTATCTTTGAAATTTTTCAAAATAAGGAATTAGGAAAAAATAGCAATTACCCTTTATTTTCAGAATCACGAGCCACCATTACAAATGTTGCATCCAAAACAGGACAAAATTCATCGCCATGTAACTAAAGAACAAAGGAAAGAAAACATAGATGTAAGAAATGCATTTACTGGGAAGACCTACTCCAGTTCTAACAGATATCCTGCATGCTTTGAGAAAGGCTGAAATTAGAAAAAGAGGAGAAGGGCATTCATTAACCACCATCTGCTGAGTTGCCCAGCCTGAGTTGCCAGGCACAGAACTAGGCTCTGGGTGGGAATGGCAGCATGACCAAGGAGCCTGTGGTCTAGCAGAGGAGAAAGACACTCAAAAACCCAAACGGTGCACCGTGCAAGAAGTGCTGGGACGAATATGAACTATGGGCTTTAAATCTGTGCATGACTGGGACGCAAGGGCCAGGGTCACAGAGGGACCTTCTGCCCCATCATCACTTAACTGTCCGCATCATGCAGAATTCAGGCCGTCTTCAGGCCCACCGGTCCTCATGATGGCCCACAGGGCCAGGTGGACCTCCCACCACTCTCGCTGACATTAGTAATTTCAGGGAGCTTCATTGTGGCGACTGCCAGCATATGTTTACGTCTCCCTAGCCAAGCACAAGGGCTCCCAAGAAGAGATAAGATCAGTGACAATTCTGTGGATTAAGCTAAATATTTACAGTGCACAAGCCTTTGAGGTTTTAAGGTGCTTCTTTATCCTCTAGCAGCCTGTACTTCCAGAAGTCATATCATAGTCTTACCATAAGCTGAGGGTATATTCAGTTCCCTCCTCAACAAACCTCATCACTAGTCCTCACCACTACTGCCTGCTCACGCCCTTATCGCCTTCCCCCTCGATTTTCTCCTGGCATCTGCTCTAAGCCTGTTGGCACTGTATATAAAGCCCTCCACAACAGAGCCCAGATTCCTCTCCAGTTGTTCACCAAACACTCCCTCATACCTGCACCTTCTTCCCTAGCCACAGCTAACAACTTGCAGGTCCTGGAATGTACTATGCTGTTGAATGCCCGCCCCCCTCCACATCTTTGCCTGATGCCTTCCTCACAGCCGCATTCCTCAAGACACTCCTCCCCTCCCTGCCCCATCCCTACACCCCAGGCACAGCTCATCATTCCCTCCTTTGCCACCTAAATAGAAACAAAGTCCTTCCTTGACAGTGATTCTCAATGTAAGAGTGGTGGATACCACCCCAGTAGGGGGCATCTGGAAATGCGTAGGGCTGGTTTTGGTTATCACATGACTTGGGGGACACTACCAACAGGGACAGGGGTAACTAGGGAGCTAAATGCCTCAAAATGCAGGGGACAGTCTTGCAGAAAAAAGAACTTTCCCACATACAATGCCAACAGTGTCCCTGTTGAGAAATACTGCATAATACTTAATATACTATATCATAATCATTTATTTATATGGCTGTCTCCCTATTACACTGTGAGCTCCCTAAGGACAAATAGCATTTTTATGCACATTTGTATCCCTAGCACTTAGCACAAACACTGGCAGCTGGCAGATACCCGATCAATGACTGCCGATGAATGAACTGAGGCAGGTAATTATTGAGCACTACTAGAATGTAAATTCCAAGAGAATGGAACTTCTCTGTGTTGCTCACTGCTATACACCTAGCACAGAACAGGCACTCAAAAATAATTGCTAAGTGAATGCTAAATGAGTGAATGTCAGGGAGCAGGCTAGGGGACTCACACCCAGATCCTGTTACTAAGGAGTACGTAGTCTAGTAGAAGAGAAAAGACATGTGTGTATGCAGCTCTGTGGGGCAGAGATTAGCAGGTGCCAGGAGAGAGAGTCAGAGAAAAGGTACTGAGGAAGGAGTGATGGGGAAGGAACAGGTACCATGAGCTGGGAGGATTGGGGAAGGATTTGAGCATGAAGTGACCCAGAAGCACAGGTGGAATGTGGACACGCAGAGCCAGAGCACAAGGATTTCAGGTAAAGGAAAAAGCATAAGCAATGATACTCATCCACTGACTTACTGCTTAAATTATGGTTTATTATAATGAACATCTACTAGTGCCAAGCATCAGGAATGCAAAGATGAACAACTCCCTACTCTTGGGATGCTCAAAGTGCCCAGCGGTGAGCTCTATGAAGGTATATAAATGGTAAGTGGGAGGGAACATAGTTGAAAAGGTAGATTGGAGCCAGTTGACAGAGCACTTTGGATCCTAACTAGTCAAAAGAGTTTAGACTTTAATCCACAGATAATGGTCACTGAAGGCTTTTGACAAGGGAAGCAATGTGATTTAAAATCGGCTTTGGGAAGATCTATTTGGTAAAAATGTGTAAAATTAACAGAAGGAAAACAGACTAGAGGCAGGCAGGCTAATTAAAAGGCAGTTAAAGTACTCACACAAGAGGCAGTGAGGGCTTGAATGAAATACAGGGGCCAAGGGGACGGGGAAGAAAAGGACTCTGGTGAGTTACTGTGGGTGATGATTTCGCAAGACTTGGCAAAAGGCTGCATGGGAAAGGGAAAAATTAAAGTTATCACAAAGGTTTGGAGCTGGGGGAAACTGGAGGAGGATCAGGATTGGAAAGGAAGCTGATGCACTCAGTTTAGAACACACTGGACTTGAGGCAGCAAGAGCATATGTAGGGAGAGAGCTATAACAGGCACTCGGAAAGCTGAGTCTGAAGATCAAGCCTAGAAGAGAGATTTGGGACCATCTCAATAGTAATGATAATAAATTAACATACTGCCAACATTGACTAGTGGTTACTGTGTGACATGCACTGTACCAAGTATTTCACATGACTGGGTTGTTTCTTCATTTCACCCTAACCACACCATATAACGTGGTACTATTACTGTTTCCATGTTACACTGAGAAAACAGAGGCTCAGAGCAGATAAGTAATATACCCACAGTCACATGGCTAATAAGCAGCAGAGCTTGGATCTAAACTTACACGTACCCACACCAGAGGCAGGGCGCTTATCGCCAAGCTCCCTCTCTGGAATAGGAAGGGTCACTCAAGTCATGAGTTATTAGTCAAAATGGCCAATGAGAAATGCAAATTTCAAACAAGAGTGTGTACTTGTCTGACAGTGATTTTCATTAACTCTCTCCTCCCAATAATTTCTGTATCTCTTTTTCAACCTGTTTGTCCGAGATTCAGAATGTCAAGATTCCCTAGAAAGTAGGTCCTGTGCCAGAAATCTGCTCTGCGTGGCACTGAACAGGCTAGGAATCAACCGTGAAGATTAAAAAAGAATGTGGACAAACCATAGCAGCGCCTCCAACAACTTTCTTATGTTTTGTTTTAAAAACAGTACTACTGTCAGTTACAGCAACAGTGGGAGTTAACTATTTTTACAAATAACTTTAATTACTGCAGAACAAGCTTCAGACTTTTCCCAAAAGGCAAAATGCTTCCTAATTCCCTAACAGAAAAAATGTATCTGAATAATAGACCTACTGAATACACTGGCATAACTGAATAAGTCATTCTTAAGAAGTTTTCACAATGAAATCTTGGACATACTCTGAATTATTTGATTTCTGTGCTAATATCTTCTTTGAGGTACTTTTTCTTTTCAAATTTCTTCAATATCTTTATAACAGCTATTCGGAGTTGTGCTCATTAGAGGGGCTGCCTCTAACTGCTATAATAGTCTAAGTGACTATTATGGGTTGAATTGTGTTGCCCAAAAAGATATGCTGAAGTCCTAACCCTCAGTACCTTTGAATGTGACTTTATGTATTTGGAAATAGGGTGGCTGCAGATATAATCAGTTAAAACGAGGTCATACTGGATTAGGGTAGGCCCTTGTCCAATATGACTGGTGTCCCTATAAGAAGAGGAGAAGAGACATGGAGACAAAGACACACAAGGGAAAATGCCATGTGATGATGGAGGCCGGAAACTCCAGTGCTGCAGCTACAAGCCAAGGAACACCAAGGACTGCCAGCGAACCAATAGATGCTAGGAAGAAGCAAGGGAGGATTCCCCCCTACAGGTTTCAGAGGGAGCATGGCCCTGCCCAGACCTTGATTTTGGACTTCTAGCCTCCAAACAGTGAGACAATTAATTTCTGTTGTTTTAAGCCACCCTCTTTGCGGCACTTTGTTATAGCAGCCCCACGCAACTAACACAGTGACCAATCCCATTCATGCCTAACATAACTAAGACTTTTGTGAAATTCTCTGGGGCCAAACCACAAACAAGCACCTTAACATGGAGCTGTATATGATTTGAAAGTAATAAACACTAAACATAAACACCATATAACATGTCAGTCTTTGTCCAGGAGGAGAATATTAATAACCCACCATCTATGACATAAACTGTCAATTGTTTTTCTAGAAGTGATGAGCTATACATCTGTCTACGCATAGATAGGGAAATAAGCTTTTCTTTCTGGTTGTATTGGAACAACTGGGCAATCTTTGGGTACATACACACCTGGCACATTTTCATCTTTACTTCCATGGAAGTCTTCCCAACCCAGCTCACATGGCCACTGAACTTGATGTCGTGTTCTGGGCCTAAGCTCGTCTTACACAAATCTGCAAACCAGAAAATCAGAGTCCAAACCATACCCAAAATTTTCTGTACTGTAAATGGACAATTTCATTTGAAATTTTGGCGAATTCCACTACATTTCTTTCTTGTCCTCAAAACTAAAGATAGGGGCCAGCTCGGTGGCATAGTGGTTAAGTTTGCATGCTCCACTTCGGTGGCCCGGGGTTCATGGGTTCGGATCCAGGGCGTGGACCTACACACCACTCATCAAGCCATGCTGTGGCAGCGTCCCATATACAAAATAGAGGAAGACTGGCAACAGATGTTAGCACAGGGCCAACCTTCCTCACCTAAATAAATAAATAAATAAATAAATAAATAAATAAATAAATAAATTTTTTTGACATCCAAAAGAAATTTGTATGCCTTTTTGAAAAATGTAGACAATGCAAAGAATATAAAAAACAAAACTGGAATCATCCAAAACCCTTTCAGCCAAAGAAAATTACAACAAATATCTTGGTATATAGCATTCTATATATTTTCATATGCATATTTACATAAAAATTCCCCATCAAAGGAGAATATTTCCTCTAATCTCAATAATATCTTGTAGTTACTAAGAATTCTAAGTATGCATAGAAAATAATATCACTTACCAATCTTGTCCACCTGGGCTGTAACTATTGATAAAGGAGACATCTTAGCTGAATGAATTTTGGTGTGCATGTAGCAAATAAGAACTGTAAAAAAAATAGAAGAGAACCAAATACAGGAAAAGCAAAATTATTTCTCAACATTTACAATTTACTCCCTGAAATCCACAAAAAGTCTTATCTTGTTTTGAAGACCCAACCCCCTATATCCCACTAGTGATCTCATCCAAGGACCAAAGACTTTTATACATTAGAGATTTAGAGATCCTCCAATCTGACTGCCTCCTCAATTTTAGATTTGGTAAGGAAACTGGAGCCCAAAGCCCCAGCCCACCAGAATGGCTTGTCACCACTCTGCAGAGACACAGTGCCTAAATCAGAAAAAGACCCCACCACAAGCCTGACAGCATCAAACAGCTTCAGAAAAGAGAAACAAATCACAAGGACTCAGCTACCTGTTTTCCTCCTCTTTCCTAATCATGAAGCAATTATTTTGCTCAGAGCTATCCTCCTTCCCCATAACACCCTCAGCTCCTATGCCACCCTGCGGTTGTCTCTATGTTACCACATTTTAACAAGCATTATTATATGCACCAAGCATGGTTCTAAGCACCTTACGAATATCACCTCATTTAAAATTCTATTATACTTTTGTGTTTAGTGGCCTCCCTACTGCCCCCAAGATTCTTTCAAATTTGTATCATCAACCCTCAGGATAGGATCTGTGCTCAATAAATATTTGTTGAATGACAATAAGTCCTTTCATCTATGCACCTGCTAAAGGATATACTAAGGGAATGAGAGGTTAAAGGCAATAAATTCCATTTAAAAGGCTCTGTGGTACCCAGAAAAGAAATCATATGCATCTGACCTATGGCAATGTTAGTGGAAATGAAGAGAAAAGATCCAAGAGCTAAGAAGAAGGTAGACTTGACAAGACTTGAATAAACCCAGGTTTCTAGCTTGCATGAGTGAAGATAGTGTACCATTCACTGAAAAAGAGAACACAGGAAGGGCAGAATGAGCTGTTTTCAACATGTTGAATTCGAGAAGCCTATGGCACATCCAAATGAAGATGTCCAGTAGACAGGAGGACAAACTGGTCTGGAACTCAGAAAACCAGCTCAGGAAATGTGGGGCTTCATAAGTATTTCACATACTGATAGCAACTGAAGCACTGGGAATAGGTGGGATTATTCACGGAGAATGTGCAGATAACACCCCCAAAAAGAGCAGAAGACAAAACCCTAGGGATAACCGACACTTAAGGGATCAACAGAGAAAGAGGAACCTACAAAGGAGAGTGGGAAGGAGCAACCAGAGAGGCAGGAGGAAATGTCACCAAAGCCCGAGGATGAGCTGACAACATTAGGAACCGCAAAGGGGTCAGGAAAGCCCTGAGAAGTATCCATTACTTCATGCAATAGGGGGGCCAATGGTCAGCTTGACAAGAGCAGTTCAGTGGCATGGTGGAGCAGAACGGGAGACTGGGAACAACAGAAGGTCAAGATACAGAGGTGATGAGAGCAGATAAATTTTTCCAGTTCTTTCCAGAAAGTTAGCTCTGAAGTGAGGGAGAAAAACAGTTTGAGAATGTTATAAGAGCAGAGGATTTTACCTATTTTTCATTTTAAGATGGAAGAGCCTTGAATAAGTTTACAAGTTGAGGGAAAAGTGAAATTGAGAAAAGGCTTGAGAAATGAGGGAGAAAACATATGTGATAAGGCAAGATCCTTAAAGAAACGGAAGGACTAGAATCAAGTGAACAGGTGACAGAGACTGACCATCAACAGGAGGTAGTGAGAAAAAAAACAAGGTAGTGGCAGAGGAGTTTATGTATTCAGGGACACCTAAGTAAACCCAAGTCAAGTGTGTGGATGTGGGTGTGTGTGCGCACGCAATCTCATGAAAAGCCAATAAGAATTTTTAACCAGGTTTATTTAATCTGGAGAAAAAGTAGCTAGGTGTCAGCCTAACAATGGAATTGTGTCTATATTTAAAAAGTTATTAGAGTCTTTCTTCAAACACTTTCCCAACTGTTTAGTCCAAAAGTCATTAGGTAGGAGTAAGCAAGGTAGCCTAGAATAGGGTGTTGGAGCCCAAGGGGTCAGGAGGACGTGCAGAGAGGGGACAACAGCGATGGCCCAGCATATTGCAGCTTGAACACAATGAGAAGGGTGACCCTGCAGAATGGAACCTGGTATGGGGTAGAACCCCAGTGAGGTGAGGAAGTGTCCATGAGGGGTTAGGGGTGACAGCAATAGGAAATTGGCTACAAACAGGGGAACTGATCAGTAATAAGTAAATGTATTAAGGATAATGGAGCCAGCTGGAGAAGGGAATTACAAATATGAAAAGGGAGGAAATAAGAATGAACCCTGTGGTGTTGAACTAGACTTGGAGCTCTCAGTGTGAACCCAGGGTTTTCATAAATAGAGAAAGAGATGATAGGTAGATAGGTAGGGAGGAAGGGAGATAGATATAGAAATCAACATAGATGTAAATGTATGTGTATGTACATATATTCCCGTGTTCATCCACTGAGAGGGCATGGGAAAAGTGATACCCCAGCAGCGATGACCACTCCCAGCACCTAGATCTTGGTTGCTAAATATCATTCTCCATTAAAAAGAACCAGGGCTCCTTGGACATTTGGCTGATTCCAGGACCAGACAGTGAGGAAGTGCTCAGAGAATGACGGGGACACAAAAAAACACAGAAGCCAGACTGAAGGGCTGGGACAGTCCTGGGACAATCTGAACACCAAAATAGATGATAGGAACATATCATAACACATTCAGTAAAATAGGAATCCCTGAGTCCATGCTGATTTAAAAATAATAAGTTGAAAGTGTAATGAGGAATGGGATATTTACAAAGTCTCAAAGTACCTCCGTACAAGGGACTTATTAATTACAAAGGGGAAAAGAGTAACTTTACAGTGAAGAAGCCTAGCAGACACTATCTTCATCAAGTAATCCAAGTTAACAACATCAGTAATGGGACAAATTAAAATTATGTGCCACTTCATAAGATGCAATAAGAACATAGCATCTCTTCTGTGACATTCCTGCCAAAGATGCATGTCCCGAATCTAATCATGGGGAAGCATCAAACAAACCCAAATCGAGGGACTTTCCATGAAAACACCAGCCTATAACATGCAAAAGTGTCAAGGCCATGAAAGTTAAGGAAAGATCAAGGAACTATTCCTGACACAACAACAAAATCCAACATATAATTCAGAATTGGATTCTTCTGCTATAAAGGACCATTGGCAAAAGTTGACTGAGGTCTGAGGATTACACAGTCTAACATACCAGTGTTAATTTCCTGATTTTGATGGTTGTATTGTGGTTATGTAGGAGAATGTCCTTGTTTGTAGGAAATACCCATGAAAACATTTGGAGGTGATATGCATCATGTCAGCAATATACTCACACACGATTAAGGAAGAACAATTCTTTGTACTATATTTGCAACTTTTCTGTAAGTTTAAGGCTGTTTTTAAAAAGTTAATGGAAAGAAGGATTAATCAGATTATAACTCCATTAAATAGGAATCTACACTTTAGGTAAAAAAATTATAACAACAGAGGTAGTAGACGCCCTTCTTTTTTCTGATCTTTTAGAATATCCTCATCTGTGTAGCCATAGGATTCAATGTACAACTGTAAATATCTATTTAGAAATACAAAAATAATACCAGTACCTCCTAAGCTGTCAAGATCCTCAAGAATCCTTCCAAATCTGTGAAATAAATAAAACTGTAATTAAATGAAAATCAGGATGATCTCTCTTTAAAAATAACACATTTTGAGGTGATGAAAATGTTCTAAAGTTGACTGTGGTGATGGCTGCACAACTCTCTGAATATACTAAACACCACAGAATTGTACACTTTAAGTAGGTGAATTGTATGGTGTGTGAATTATATCTCATAGTTGTTATTTTAAAAGGACATAAATGAAAACAAATAAATAACACAAATAAAAATAGTGCTGTGTTACCTTATGGTGTTTTGAACAGTCAAATATTTCTCTCGTAATTCAGGCTGACTGCCCAAAGGCAGGAGAACTTCAATGTAACTGTCTTTCATTCTCCTAGGTGGCAGTCCTTTCTGAGACTTAGCCAAAAAACTGTGAAGTAATTTTCTTTCCTCCATTGCTTTCACATGGTCTCTGAGAAGAAAGGATGCAAAGCTTCATGAAACACAGGAGCAGTGCTATCCCACAATCCCAGTGACATCCAGGCCAGTCAGACACCACCAAAGGAGGAAAGAGATGGTCTGCACCTACCTCATCTCCTCCTTCCCTCCCTTCCCACCTGCCACTTGGGGAAATTAAAAATTTCTATTAAAATTTCTTAGGCTTCTAAATAAGAAAAACATACTTAAAAGTGATACAGATACACCCAAATGAACCATATACTCACCCTCATCAAAAAGTGTATTCAAAGAACAGAATAGTTGAAATCAAATTAAAAATACAGAGATAGATACAATAGTATATATATATGAGCTAAAGAACGACATGGCCACTGAACTCCAGATTCCCATTTCTCACCTTGATAATTCTCGTATTCTCTGTGCCTCAGCTCTCTCTCTCTGCCTTCAATTTCAGGAAAGAGAGACAGAGGAGGAAAAATGGAGTCTATCCAAAAGAAGTATGGAAGGCAGAGCAAAAGATAAAGAGGAAGAGAACATAAAAAGGAGACAGAAAGGGAAGAAAAAGAAGAGATGATTAAGGTGGAAGAGAAGAGAGAGACAAGGGGATAGGGAACTAAAATGTTGATAGTATTATTAATTAAGATGTCTTTCTAAGCTTCACTTATGAAGTATTATTGCCAAAAAGTATTATAGCCTACAAAAGATATACGGAATAGAGGAACAAGTTAAATGGCATCAGGTAAATCCAGAATGTGAAACATTCTACAAGACAAGCTTGGCCTCTTTAAAGTCAAGCTCATGGGGAAAAGAAGGAGGAAGGGATATTATTCTGGATTAGGGGAGACTAAAGAGTCATGACAACTGAATGCAATACACAATCCTTTATTGGATCCTGATGTTTTTTTAAAAAGCAATAAATGACATTTGGGGGACAGCTGAGGAATTCTGAATATGGATGAGTAATATACCATTAGGGAATCACTATCAATTTCATTATGTCAGAGAATGTCTTTGTTGGCAATACATGACTGCTGATTTTGTTACACAGGAGAATGTATTTATTTTATCAGAGATGTATGCTGAAGTGTCATGATACCTATAAGTTACCTAGAAATAGTTCAGCCAATATATGTATATTGGCAAATCTGGAAAAATGTTAATAAGTATCCAATCCAGATGGTGGGGACATAGGTATTCTTTTTTTCTACTTTTCAGTAAACTGAAATTTTTCATACAAAGAGTTAAAGAGTCATTAGATAATTTCTATACCAACAATAGATTATTGTAGTATGTCTAGTGATCACTTGTGCTTGTTCTCTTTATCTCATTTTAGCTTCAAATTGCTGTGCACCAAGAGGGATATTATCCTATATTACAGCAGGGAAACATTGAGAAAAAGAGAAAGGTTGTATGGGAGACCTGGTTAATTGTGAAGTGACAAGAAGCAATAAAGGAGTCAGGTTGCATGAAATAGAAAAACCAGGAAACCTCGGTTCAAGTCCCAAACTCTGATACTTAATCGTGCAATCTTTCTGAGTTTCAGTTTCATCATATGTAAAAAAGGGATAGGAACACAGGCCACAAGCATGTCACAAGTTTGGCTGAGAATCAGTGAGTTAATATACCTGAATGCACTTTGAAAAATGTAGAGTACCTCAAATTATTTTATGACAATGCATCAACTGACGAGTATGTTGGAATGTTGATCTCCTCCCCCAAGTAAAAAACCTCTCAACCCATTTCCCAACACAGAGCCCCTCCCACCCCATGCCTACAACGGCACCATCAACTGAGCCTAAATATGGCCTAGCATACCACTTTAGGGATGAAAGAATGAACAGAAGAGCACCTACCTCCAGTCTGTGGATACTCCTACTATCTCCCGCAACTTATCTCGAACTGAAACAAAAATAAAGAGGTCATTCCATGAAAGAAAAAGATGTGAGAACCAGATTATGGCAACAAGCTCAAGAACTATGAAAAGCAGTTCATGCACTCAAAGGCTTTAAAGACCCATGAATTTCCATTTAATGCCACAACAGCTCAGGGAAGGGATCAGGCCTCTGCTTCCTGAAAACTTGAAACAACTATTGTCTCCTTAGTGCAGAAAAGAATACCCCCGTGCCAATCACTGGGGTTTATATAAACAAACAAAAATGGATAACTCCAGTTATTCATCAGATGGGGCTGTATCAGTGTCAGGAGGAGTCCCTTTTTGATGGAGATACTATGAACAGAATCCTGCCTATCTTCTTATAGGCAGTAGTAGATCTACTTACTTAGTTCAGGGACTAACACTAATATCCAAATCTGAGTCTCATTCTAATTGATTTCTCATATATTTATACTATCCAAATTGTTAGAAAAGTTTAAGCCAGAAAAATGAAGCAAAGACGTAAACCAAGGAAAGGCAAAGAATGCAATTTAATTTTAGTTAATGCTCACTGCCCAAAAGTGCAAGAAGGAATTAGTGCGAAAAAAAACTTAAGCACTTAAAAACAAAGTTGATACTAATTACCACACACACCATGATTCACATGTATAGGTGAACATGCTATATGGATAAAGGGAAAATAAATTACACAAAGAGTACTAATTAAAAAGTAAAAACTAAATCTATAGGATTTCAAAAAATGAGTTCAGTTCATGTGTTTTTTCTAGTATTTTAAAATATATATTCCAGTTATAGGAAATTAACTATAGCAATCCTTGGTCCTTCAGTAACTAATTGATCAAAACCAAATATGGTTAGATTAACATGCACTTTGACTGTCATGAAAACATGGTTGATTTTTCTATCAAACAATTGTTATATACCATAAATTTGGTGCAAACTCTAATTATAATTAGATCATAGAGAACTGCAAAAAAATAACTATTAGTAGATAAGTCTTATTTCTGATTTTTTTTCCTCCTGAGTTTCCTGGATAAACGAATGGACAGAAAGTATCCTAAACAGTACACAGAATACTGATGCTCGCTGACATAAAAGGATTATTACTAGTTTTGTCAGTGTAAGAAGACATGCAGGGCCGGCCCCGTGGCTTAGCGGTTGGGTGCGTGCTCTCCGCTGCCGGCGGCCCGGGTTCGGATCCCGGGTGCGCACCGAGGCACCACTCCTCCA